TGTCCTCACGTTGCAGCTCCTCCCACATATCTTCTGTGTTGTGTCATTGGGTGATGGGACAGGCCGCGGTGGAGGCGTGCATGGCGTCATACATTTCCTCTAGTAACGGTATAGCTCTGCCGCGGTAGTAGCGCCTCCTCGCGCTCAGGCCTTCGCTTATCTGTGTCATGTTTACAGCTGAGTGCTGATTGGATGTCTCGGATCCAGCGGGCGTCATCCGTTCTCCGCCCCCGTCCCGGGGAAGTCAGGTAGTCACGGTGCGTTAGACGGTTGTCTTTTGTATGTTACAAGAAGAAGGTTACGGACAATGCGTTTGGCGCAGAGGGCGCCGTAGGAGGAGACTTCGTCATGTATGTGAAGTGGGTGGTGGCAGGTGGCGGCCTGGGGGGGGCGTGGCTTCATTTCTTGCTAGAGATTTGTCTGCACTTAAACGTTGAGGGTTTGTGGCGCGGGTCACATGACGTGCACTTTGAGGGATTGTGGCGCAGGTCACATGACGTGACGGTTGAGGGTTTGTGGCGCAGGTCACATGACGTGACGGTTGAGGGTGTGTGGCGCGGGTCACATGATGCAGAGGGTCACATGACGTGACGGTTGAGGGTGTGTGGCGCAGGTCACATGACGTGACGGTTGAGGGTGTGTGGCGCGGGGGTCACATGACGTGCACGCTGGATCATAGTTTGGCGGCGGTGGGGGACGCGACCTGTACGATGCTCTTCGCTTTGCACATTATGAAGTAACCGAATTTCCTTCTGTGACGTCATTTTTTTTTTTTGTAACTAATAAAGTTTTCTGTAAATAAACAGTTTGTTGTATTTAACCCTTTCATGGCTGAGCGAGTTTTCACTTCCTGTTCCTAAATGACGGACGCACTTGTTACATTGTTGCCGTGTGATTTCTTCCACGTCAGTGATCTATGATCACTGACGTGGAAGAAAGAGGCCGAGGTGCCGGTTACCGCGCCCCGCACACTCCAGGTTCTCACCTGTGGCGATCACGGGGTCAGTCATGTTGAGTTTTTAAAGATGGCAGCCATCTTGAAGCCTGGCAGGTGCCAACATCCCATGCTGAACCGGCAATATATTAAATATAAATCATCCCGTGGAGGATCGGCTTGTCTGTCTGATGCAGACCATACTGATCGCTCCCTGGTGGTGCCGCCGATCACAGGCAGGGAGCGATCAGTATGGTCTGCATCAGCCAGAGATACAGGTCTCATTGGACCGCAGGGCGCGGTGATCGTTGGACATCGGCAAGCACAGGAAGAGACATGGCCGAGCTCAGGTGCACTATTACCTCCCCGATGTGCGTTCGTACTATAAATGAACCCCTCGGAGTCGAGTCTACCTCTCAGGGCTGGGTCATTGTCAGCTTGAGCTACTGAGGTCTGTACACAAGGTAAGGAGATGGTGGGAGAGCGCCACCTGCTGGCTGGAACAATTAAAT